GGCGTAATCCCACTCGCCTAACGAAGGAACTTACATTTTCCCAAAGAAGAATTCGGTCGGAAGTATATGGGAGCCATAAAGAAAAGGGATGAGGTCGAAACGATCATTTTATCATACTCCGTCAACCCTTTTCGGCCAACCAGTGGGTGAAACAACAGCCAAGTACTTGTAAACATTTGTATCTCCAAGATCAATCTGGACGATACTGAGTCGTCAAATGCATAGCGAAGAGAATTGCTATGTCTACCAAGTCGTTGCGGAGCGACAGCATTATGAAATAAATTACAGATGTCACAGAGATGCTGTAGAGTTGACCGCTGGCCGCAGTGTTCCTTGCAAGCTGGATCCTTATGGTTAAGACCTGGGCGCAAGCAATTTTCACGCACATTCAATCCCCTGGTTTGCGTGTAAGCAATCACCAAACGTTTATCCTAGAGAGGGATGCATGTGGGTTACCAAGAGTCAGAAATCTAGCTTACCGCCGTCAAAGCAGCAAGACTGTGAGGAAATTAAGAAAATGTAACAAATCAACGGTGAACTTGAGTAGTTGCGCAGATTTCTTATCATCTCCTCTGTACTATTAGGATTACAGGGAATTCTCAATATAAAAATATTTAAATATTGTCATCTTACTAATCACGTGCATCAGGGTGAACGGCGGGTATAGTCCTAAGACCATGACAGCCGAAGATGCAAAACCATTTGATTTTGCACACAAATTCCGGTCTCAATCATCTTAGTTCCACAGCCTCGGCGAATCGCAAGAAGCCAGTCCTATTCATGACAGTAAAACTTGTGGTATCCAGATAGGAGAAAAGTCTTCTTAGGATTCCTGAACTTGACTTCGTATATTGGTTTGTCAAATATTAAAGAGGTTGATGAGAAGAGCAAAGGTATTTTGGGCACGGGACGCTTAACAGAACTCCACAGTTGGGCACCAAAGCATGCTGTAGACAAGCATAATTGGAATATCACAACGACGAGTATGATTTATCCATCTGGAAATGTTTATTCTATAAATATCCTTGCATGATGTGCAGTGCGAATTTGCTACAAAAGTTTGCAATTATCATAGGATGCCACAGGTGACGATAATTCAAGTGGATCAATTTTATTGGTGTGCTCAATTGGGTACAAGTTCGGATGCAAGAGGACGGCAAATCTGTCCAGCTGCTTACTTTATCATCACTGGGACGTTTGGTGAAAAGCGAGGTCAAGCTTTAAGTTGCATTAACCGCGTAGCGTTATCCATTGTATGCAGATACTCCTTGAATGTATAGGAAAAACTATGGAAGCTGAGATTGACACATCATGCTGGGAGTCAGCTTCATTGCAACTTCGACGAAATTATATTACTTTTAGTTCTGCGAACAGTGAACTATGAATTGTGTGTTTATACGGGTTCAGAAGCGTGGCTTTACACGTCCCGTTGGATAGTTGATGGGGATTTAGAAATAGCAATACCGATTATAATGACAGTAAAACACTTAGCACGGTACTATGGAAGTAAGGACTTATCATTTGTTCCGCCGTAGTCATGTAATCTCCCTACCTTCACAGCATCCGCAGTTAACATCAAATAATTCCATGTATTTCGCTGAAGTTCAACCTGACGTTACTTTTGTTTGTACATAACAGCCGTTTCCTAACATAACTCAGGCGAATTTTGCAAGTGCAGGCATAGAAAACAGTCATACATTGCTTAATTTTATCCAACGTGTCTCTGGCATCCAACATCGTGCAGAAGTTAAAAAAACTGCTGCGATAAAATAGCTAGCGCAGAGGAATCTTATTAACCTTTTCTTGTGTATTTATTACCCATTGCATGTAATTGTAGGCGACAAAGCGGTCACTTACGGTATTGAACAACATGCGACTCTTCCTTGCTACTTTAACCTAATTGCATCAGTTGCAGACCAACTTTAGTATCCACGGTTGGTGGTCTTTTTCTTATGTGTTTATGTCGACAGATCAAGTTCCAGATTGATGGAACCGACTGGATATGCGCCAAGTGAACATGAACCGATAATCTGTATTTCTCAGCACGTGATAGGTGTTCTAGCTACCTGACAATTTGCTTGCCTCAAACGAAGTGAATATTTCCTTTCTGGAATAGGCCGTTAGAGTCTGGTGTAGAAACCCCATGTGTTGGTATTCCAATAGACAACGTTACGCTTTCTTCAACCTGGGGGCAAGTAATTATACTCTCATTCAAGTAAGTGGTGAATTGTGTGTTGGTAAGCCGAAGCTTATTTCTCTTTTGCTTCTTAGTGTTACTCAGGTTGTAATGCGATACTGAATTTGTGCAGTCGTCATTAGAACGCGCAAAGTGTGAAACTGGACTAGATGAGTGGAGATGACTCATCGGAAGTGTAGGTCATAACCACGTGATGAGCAATTAACTCTCAATATATCCACGGTATGCAAAAACCTACGATACGCTCAACTGTCCAGCCAAGTTGACATGACATTTTAATGCAGATTATAATAGCATCCATCACAGCTTCCAGCGTACAAACAAAAAAGATCTCCGAGATTTTCTTACGAATGTTCCCTGTCAAGTTTAACTGACAGGTGTGTCCTGCTCCCAAAATATCCGGAAGTGTAGTTTTATTGTGCGCATGAGAAGGATTTTATGAATGTCGACAGAGTCAAAAGCCTAGGGAGCAATGCAATAAAACCTGTTCTGTATGGAATACCATTCAAATACCCACACGTCATGCAAACAACATTCATTCGGTAAATAGAAAACAGCGATTATACTTTGTCGTTCGGGATGTATAAATGTATTTCTAGTGGGCTTAAAATGAGAAAATAACTGAACTGCATTTTGAAAGACTACTTTTGCCTCAAATACGCATGTTGAAACCTACCTCCGTAATTAAGAGCTGTGTGTACACTTTATATAACCCAACTGACATCTGACATATTAGCGGCACAAGATATATAGTGGATAGAAAGTGGGGAATAATACTGTAGGCTACATTTTGATAACTGTTTTCGGCGGATCTATAGGCATGTTGTCAGATATAGTCCTAATCCATACCTGTATTCTTGGCATATTGATGAGCATAGATATAGAGGACTTGTCTGACTAAGTATGCGTGCGGGCAAATTCCTAAAGAGGCTAACCACGCACGGCGTGTTCTACTGTATTGATTTAGCAACTTCACTAAGTCACATGCTGCCATGGTTATTGGGATGCTTGTTCAAGGCGCGTAACTGGAGTGACAGTCCATGTTATCTTCACCGGATGTCGCCAGATGTTGTCTTATCACGCATTTAACCGCTTGTATTCACCAAGTAGCATATTGTTTTTCTTGATAACCTGATATTATCCTTCTGCCTATGTCCACTCTGCTTGTATTTTATTTATAAGTACAGTGTTCCTCGGTTCAGACTCTCGATAGTGAACACAATTCAGTTGAAAATCCATCGGTATTACTAAGCTGCAACCCGCAAAAAATGATAGGATTACGCATGATAAGTTGTAAAAGCTTGACTGAATTTCGACAATAATAGCTAGACAATGTTTTTAGCTTGCATACACCGAGATTGTTTGTCGTACACCTTTGGTACAAAAGACAGAAGAATCGAGAAAATTTTAACGCGGAATCATGTGGGAAACAAAATGATGGTATTATGATTATGTCTGAGAAATCAGTTAACTCCTCTCATTGATTGCGGTTATGTTAGTAAAAGCAAAATACCAGTTAATTATAATCTGCCTTAACTTAGCAAAGAAGGGATATCGATAGTGGTATATAACGTTTTCCTGATCAACCATAATTTAGACATTAAATAGAGATGAAGCAACCCCTAATTTTCTATAAAGCATATCTTAACAACCATTGAGAGTTGCCACTAGTTGAAGTGAATATTCAAGAAAGAATTAAGCCAACCAATATGTTTTTATTTTTTTCCTAATTGCACACACAATAAGTTCTCATTTATCTGCATGATAATTATTGGAACATTTTACCATGTCGATAATTCGAAGACATCCTGCCGCTTGGCGAGCATTGCAATCCCACGTCCTCGTGCTTGCGGATATAACTTAGACCAGCATTTAAACATATTGGTATTCTATGATCGCTCTGGACTTTAGAAATATGCGAACTTTGGTTAATACAAAAAAACAGCTATTCAGCCGTCAGATAACTGATCTGATCCAAATGTCTCCATGTCTTTATAGGATGATATGCATTAGCATTATGCCGAGCTCGTCCAGCAGCATTTAGATATATGCTAGCATACGATCTTTATGTATAAATTAATAGCCGGTGCTATATCCCGCCTACCTATGTTCCTATAGAATTCTAATGCCACCTCGTCTAAGGTATATAGTCGACGCATTCTATGTTGAAAAATTTGGTCACCTCGCAGAACTTTCCACTCCAAAGAAAGAAGTAGATGAAACGGAGTTTGTTACGATCTTATTTAGCACAAAACACAGACGAGAGAATGATGTGTGACCATAGATTTCCCACTCAGATATTGAATAGAGCCTTATGCTAAGCCAGGCTACATAGAGTACAGGAGTTTAATACCTGAATTCTAGTGTGACATATAGTACAATCATCTTGAAGCAAGCAACGGCTTGTTAGTACATGTAGCAAGCCTAATGCCCCATTAAATTGGTTAAGCAGATTTTCATGAACTTGGTAAAAGTCAAGGTGTAGGTTAATTTCCGACATTCAGCATATGCGCACATGGTAAAATATTGCGCTCAACCAAGCTTATTTACCAATCACCAACACCACTCAACTCTCTTACAACTCGCGCACATCTTTCAACACTAACTGTTAGACCTTGATTCACGCATGACAATGACATGCAGACTCAGATATTATTCTACGTCTAGCGCATCTGCAAGATAGCAAGACTGAATCTAAGCATCATCTGTCGTGGGGGTTGTCGGTATAGGAGGGGGAGTAAATAAGATACGAGTGTCTTGAGTTCTAATATCTATAATAGGGGGGAAAAAATTATTGTGGGGTATGGGGGGGGTTTGGCGGGGGCTGAGAGGGTGGGGGGGGGGGGGGGTAATGGGCGCGGGGGGGGGCGGGGGGGTGGGGGGGGGAAGGATTGTATATATGGGGGAAAAAGGGCGGGGGGAGTTTAGTGGGGGTGGATGGTGGGGGGTGGGGTGGGGGGGGGAGCGGCGTTAGTGATAACCAGAAATATTGTACGGGTGTGGGCGGGGTCTATTGGGGGTGGGTGGGTTTGGTAGCGTGTGTGGGGGGAGAGAGTGGTGGTTGATGTGTATGTGGGGGTGGGAGGGTGTGGTGGGTGGTGGGAGGGGGGGAAGTGAGGTGGGATTGGTTTGGTTGGGGGGGGGTAGGGGGGTGGGGTGTAGTGGGGGTGGGTGGGGGGAGTGTTGGGTGGAGGGGGGTGAGTGATGTGGGGGGTGGGTGGGGGTGGGGGGTGTGGGGGGGGTGGTGGGGGGGGGGGGGGGGGTGGGGGGGGTGGGGGTGGGGGTGTGGGATAGGGGGGTGGGGGGTTGGGGTGGTGGGGGGGGGGTGGGTGAGAGTGGGGGGGGGGGGGGGGGTGGGGGGGTGTGGGGGTGGGGGGGGGGGTGGGGTGGGGGGGGGGGGGTTGGGGGGGGGGTTGTGGGGGTGGGGGTGGTGTGGGGGGGGGGGGGGGGGTGGGTGGGGGTGTGGGGGGGGTGGGGGTGGGGGTGGGGGGGGTGGGGGGGGAGGGGGGGGGGGGGGGGGGGGGGGGGGGGGGGGGGGGGGGGGGGGGGGGGGGGGGGGGGGGGGGGGGGGGGGGGGGGGGGGGGGGGGGGGGGGGGGGGGGGGGGGGGGGGGGGGGGGGGGGGGGGGGGGGGGGGGGGGGGGGGGGGGGGGGGGGGGGGGGGGGGGGGGGGGGGGGGGGGGGGGGGGGGGGTGGGGGGGGGGGGGGGGGGGGGGGGGGGGGGGGGGGGGGGGGGGGGGGGGGGGGGGGGGGGGGGGGGGGGGGGGGGGGGGGGGGGGGGGGGGGGGGGGGGGGGGGGGGGGGGGGGGGGGGTGGGGGGGGGGGGGGGGGGGGGGGGGGGGGGGGGGGGGGGGGGGGGGGGGGGGGGGGGGGGGGGGGGGGGGGGGTGGGGGGGGGGGGGGGGGGGGGGGGGGGGGGGGGGGGGGGGGGGGGGGGGGGGGGGGGGGGGGGGGGGGGGGGGGGGGGGGGGGGGGGGGGGGGGGGGGGGGGGGGGGGGGGGGGGGGGGGGGGGGGGGGGGGGGGGGGGGGGGGGGGGGGGGGGGGGGGGGGGGGGGGGGGGGTGGGGGGGGGGGGGGTTGGGTGTGGTGGGGTGGGGGGTGGGGGGTGGGGGGGGGGTTGGGGGTGGTGGGGGTGGTGGGGGTGGGGTGGGGGGGGGGTTGGGGGGGGGGGGGGTGGTGGGGGGGGGGGGTGGGGTGGGGTGGGGGGTTATTTGGTTGTGGGGGTGTGGAGTATGAGGGGAGGGGAGGTGGGGTGAGGTGTGGGTAGATGGGGGGGTAGGATGTGTGGTTGTGGTGTGTGGTGGGATGGTTGTGAAGGGGGGTGGGGGCGAGGGTGGGGAGGAGGGCGGGTGGGGTGGTCGGGTGAAAGGGTGGTGGAGGTGGGGGCTGTGTGGGGGGGTTGGGGTGGGGGGCTGGTATGGTGTGGTGGGATGGGGGGTTTGGGTGTAGGGAGGTGGGGAGGGGAGCTTGAGGGGGGGGTAGGGATAGGTTGGGATGGTTGGTGAGGGAGAGTGTTGTTTGGGTGGAGTGATGGGGGTGTATGTGGAAGATGTGGAATTGGAGGAAGGGGTGTGGAGTAGGGGAGGGGGGGAATGGCGGATTGTATGAATGGAAGAAGGGAGAAGTTGCTCTGGAATAGTGTATGGAGCAAGTAAAAAAGGTGATGTGGTAGAGGGAAGGTTGTACGCTATCTAACAAAAAAGGAATCAGATATTATTTTGAAACCAATGATATTTAGACATGAAGATGAGCACCATGATTGAGTGTATTCCGTTTTGATTTCGATCTCAAGTGACTGGATAGGTTGGTTACGAAAGATGGAAAAAATGTATTAAATCAACTGCTAAACAAGTCATGCGGGAAAGCCAATGTCAGAAGTAGAGGAAATCTTGGTAACAAAAAGACGTTATTTATGTAAGGGCTTAGCAAAGTAAGCTAAATCGATTGTTTTGGGAATTGCAGGATGATGGGCTCTTTGGTTCAGCAAGTTGCTTCCTAATATACACTAGCTATCTTTCGTATAATATGTGAGTAATTGCAATGTGATATCAGGAGTTGAAATTGAATAATTTAGCAACGGTCATATCGTAATTAGTATGTAAGTTTTATATAAATTTCGGAAACATTCTAGTTGGCTGCACTTCATGGCCTGCTTGCAATTGTGGTCTCACAGCTTTGTGTTTTGACCGTTGCAGTAAACAAATAAATATTCTCATCTCGGATAGTACGAGACACGCATAAATATGTATGTTCAAAACATATAGTAACTTTAAAAAATACATACTTCTCTAGTGTCCATATAATCTGCTGATTAATAATATTGACACCGTGTCGGTCAACATTTTTCGGGGTTCATTTAACTTAGCTTGGGATATTCTGAATATTTTACAGGGGCTAATTAGGATAGGATTATCAGGACTATATGATCAATAATGTACATGAGCTACAGCAAAGAATTGTTTTCAATTAATGGCAAACACTTTTGTTGCTCCCCTGGATCTCGCTAGTTAACTTACGATGTCGTATGCACGGAACATTTATGCTTCAAGATGCTGGGTTTTTTCAGTGAACAAACGTTTTACCATAAATATTTACGTTTTAATTTTATCAAGCTAACATCTACGCTCTTCTACACATGTTTCTGGAGAGTTCACGTAGATACTTTATTTTATATATTTTTATTTTCTAATTTCTTTGTATATCATGGGGCTCTTAAGCATTGTTTTGATCCATATTGCACTACTGTTTCTATTTTTCCTTGCTTTCCTATCACATGTTTTCTCAATCCTGTACTCATAACATACCCTGCTGAAATATCTTCGATACTTGTCCTCAGACATTTATATTCTGGCAAAAATAAGAAGAAACTTAAGAAGCTACCTAAAACCTAGAGATCGATGTTTGCTTCACCCGTGAATGCAGACCACTGATCAACTTTATAACGACATGAACATACACATACACGGAAACACAAAATGAAAGAGTGCAGTTGTCGGTGAGGTGACAAATTTACAGTCAGCTTTGGTCAATTTTAAATAAGGACAGTGTTCATTTTTCGGCCACGGTTATCAGCAGTACGCCGATAGCACTATTGACGATCCGCCGTCACGCAATCGGAGACCGTCGCGCGTTGTCTAGGGATACCGCCAGGGTCTCCCGGTTCGCTACGCCAGCTTGAAACCACACCATCGGATTACAACACATGCCTGTGAGCCTTTAGGCTAACCGCATTGTAAACATCCGCTGTTTGCATAAATAATGTTACAATACTCTGATTGACATTGCTTCGACAGTAGACAACATGCCACTCCTGAGTATTTTAAGATTAGCTTGCGACACTAATTTGCAATAGTCCTCGTCGGAGACTAATAGTTAGTGCTAACCAAGTCTTCTAGAATCGAACTGAAAGGATGAATATTCGTGCCATGTTGTAAACTGGTAACAGTGTTCTGTTGATTCTTAGAAAAACACCTTGTTATTTCTTCAAAGTGATTAGCATTACAGGTGTAGGATAATTGATATAGAATGTAGGATTCATAATGTGTCCGGATTTTGTTCTTGATGAATTGTCTAATACACGGAACAGTCTCAACCAGTATGTGGATTCTTGCAACTGTCGGTGCAAGTGTCGACAAGCGACAATTATTTTTTCGATAAATCTAAGGCATCCGGCCTATATGTCACCGATCACACATGGTGCTAAATTAACCTGCATTGTAGCCCAATATGTACAATGCCCTTGGCATCTCCAAAAATTCGGACATAACCACAAACTATTTACCTGTAAATCGCAAGTCCGAACATTATTAAACTTGCGATCTCACGAACCATCTTCCATATAGGAGTGCGCACAGCACCACAGCCTATTAAACTATTGTCCAGAATCGACCTTATTTTCATCGGAACCTTATTAATACACACCCGAATTCACATGCCAAATGCTCACAGTCAAAGTCGGTGTTTGTTTCAATAGAAAAAGGCTGATCTTACTGATATAATTACCACCATTTAAAAAAGAACAGCTACAAGTGCGACTGAGTGTGAACTTCATTTTTGTTCTGTCCATCGACACTACGAGAGCATCAACAGAATCGTCAACATTTGCCCGACATTTTCAGCCATCTACAAAATAAATCATTATATTTGCCTGTGCAATTGTAAAAGCCTAATAGCTGTGCAACAGTCGTTACCAAATTCCTGCTTTTGAACCTGTTTATTCAATTGGCAGTGGACATTCTAGGAGTAGAAACCAGCAACGACTTTACACTGGTGATGTTCTTGGAAGGAATGCTGCAGGCATTTTGTACAGTACGCGTCAGACGTCGGAGGATATCGGTAGTTTTGATAACCATTCGAATACCATAGTAACAATTTGACGTTCCAATGAAATGTAGCACAAAGTGGATAAACTAGGTTATGCTCGTTGGTGTTTGATACATAATAAATCGGTGGCTTACTGGATGACTACATATGCAAACACCCATATATGAGTTAAGTCCGACAATGTAACCACTCAGAAAGTGTTGGAAGCCTGTTCTCGTGTTTCGTTTGGTTTATCATCGCGCGTTACCTTCACACTTTGCGCTGCTGCGACAATCGTTTCTATTCGCTGATGCAGTTAAGCATCAGAATGAAATTACCTTCGAATTTTCTTCTTCGAATCCACACTAGTTTCCCTTGAAATATATTGTTCACCACCATGACGTCATAACCACTCTCTTTCCTTGCAGCCCCAATAAGTTTGCTTTACCAGAGCCCACCAATTTCAAGTCTTGATTACATACAATGCAATAGTTTAAAGGATCCTTGTATCCAGATGGTAATAAAGCAAATGTCGCAGCATTCCTCCTCCTAGCCGGCCTTGTGCATTAATAACCGACTCTGTGTCGGGTTGCGTGTGATTATAAGCCGTCCGCAACAATGCCGTTGTTCTGCAGCCAAAAAACGGTGCATTGAAGCTATCCTAATATCCTTAAGGCGCTTTGTATCCTTCAGGTATAAGTAGTTTTAGACCTTCATTATTTTTTGTCTTGAGCCAGTTGTTTATTGGCTTTATGTAATGGTAACTCATTCATTTCGTCCGATTGTGCAATGCACAAAATGAAGTAATTCCAATTAATCACTGATAGTTCGGAAGTATGCACTAATAAACTGCAGTCCGTCATTTGAAATCACATACTTAGGTATTCAATATCGAGTGATTTGATATCTTAAACGGTTCAAAGCTGTCTGTTAACTATTGATATTAATGGTATCAGTCACAAAGTAGCCACTGAATAAGCCACTAACATCAACTACTACTTTCCTCTAATCAGCGGTTCTTCATGAAATATCGATACTTTCGGCTAGCACATGCACTCGCGTAGTTGAGTGGACATCTCTTTACAGCAAATCAGTAGGCATGATCATGTCATACAATCGTTTAGTTGCAAGTGTGCGCCGTGGAGGAACACCAGCACTGAACGCTGCATTGACTTCCGTACAAGAACCCGCACTCTTATAAAGATCAATAATTGCAGGGCAACACATTTGTCGCAAAATGAAATAAAGCGCTATTTCCTTTCGGAGCTTCCTGTTGTCGTCAGGCCATCCGTTTAGTAGTGTTTTTACAAGTGGCTTGCATATGTTATGTTTCCTTGCAAGGTTGCTGTTGCGGTAGACACTCAGTGACAAAAACCAGTAATGTTGCAGGAAACAAGTCAGAGTCCTTTTTTATCCCGGTTACATCTACACCTAATCTATTGATTGCGTGTCAGCGATGTGGATTCTGGAACATGTCTGTGATGGAAAAAGATGTTACTTCTAAAGTCGAACTTACAGACGAAGTGGAACAGTGTGAAGCGAATTGCTAGAAATGGATGTCTGATTATTGTGGTCACTGAAACTAACGGTCTTGTGTCCGAACATTTAACAGACAAAATATACTACAAGGTTAACCAGCGCAATTCTTGCTTATAAACTTGGACGTAACAACTTATGTCCTTCGTCAGAGAGTAGGGCTGTGATGCCGTAGGTTTTACTGCTACATATAATTTTGAGCGGAAAAGGGGAATCGAAGCAGACACATTAACTGAAAACTGCAGTCAACTCCCTGGCTTTCCGATTTGCTTTCTTTTTCTTGGCACTCCAATGGCAATGTTCGTCTTGTATGGATCAAATTTAGAATCGGTACTATCACACCAGGCAATCTTGTCGGGAAACGGCTGTGGTAGTTGACCACCTCGTTCAGCCGGATAAAAGAATTTGCGTCAGTGGGGGATGCGATCT